TGATGGAAGTGGCCACAGAAAGTGAAACGGAGTTGAACTCATGGTGTTACGGGGTGAACAAATCAGTGATTTCAATTAGCAGGAAATAATATTTGTATTGGATATATGAACATTTCAATAAGGTAAAAGAGAACATCTTATCCATAGCAGATCTCTGCACCCTATCTAAAAACCTTCTGCTATGGATTTTCTTTTCCCTGGCAAGTTTTTCTTTTTAAACTGTGAGTAAAGCAGAACAAATTCTCTCATGTTGTCTGTGATCTCAATCTCAGACTCAGCACAGATACATAACACTGCCTAATGAAGGAGAAACAAGGAGCATTTGATTAAATGTTTGATCTCTTGAGGAATGTGCAGGCTCTGTGGAGTACAGTGCACCGCTCACAAATGTTTTATGTTTCATTATTGATTGAAAGTGATTAAAATGAATAATTGGTTCCATTGATTAAAAATATTTTCTTTTGAGCCAACTCTGGAAATAATATTAGATCATTTCAGTTTCAGGGAAGTTTAGGATTTGCTAAATGCAGGATTGCCTCTATAATGTCATCTTCCTCCATCAGCATCCACTCTCAAGTATTGCAAGTGCAGGGGCGGAACATGCTTTGCAGCAGGGCTATCCCTGACTTCAGGGGCCTGAAATGACCACCACACTGTCAGCTTTGATTATACTAATAATAAATAGGCATGGCATTAAACTGAAACTCTGAGGACATTGTGTTTCTTTACTCCACAGCTTTCAGAGTCAGGACAAAGTGAACGATGTAGCATGTTTTTAGATCTGAAGTGCAGCATCTTCCACTCATATATTATTAGCCAAAATGCAGGGAATATGCTCATGCTATGGTATCATCAGAGTGCTGGCACTGACAAGGTTTCAACTAAATAAGTAGCAAAAGTGCCAGACTTTGTTTCAGATGAGGGATAGTCTGCTTTAACGAAACCAAATGGAATAATGACCGCATGGATACAAGACTGATAAAAAATAGAATAGAATGGAAAAGACCTTTAATATTTTTCCATCTGTATTAATGAGAGCATTGGGATGATGCAATCAAGTTGTGAATACCTTCCGCAAAGAAAGGGTAGGTGGCCTCCAGCGACTCCACTTAGACTGCTCCTGCACCCAGTCCCTTCACCCCTTCTCGGCATGAGTGAAACGCTGAGACTTCACTCAACATCCTCAGGGCGCTTCCAATTCGATTTCCCTGGAAAGGACAAAGGCGCAAGAACGGCCAAGGCCACCACACTAAACTTTTCTCAAGAAACTTGTCAGGAGAGTTTCTCGGGGAATAAAGTGTGAGCGGAGCTGGAGACAGTGATAAATTTCCCTTCTGCACAATCAATAAAATCCTCTCAGTCCTGCTCAGGCCCCTACTGCGGATGCAAGGGCCATAATTACATTGTCAAAAATTCGAGTTGCCCCAGCTGACTGAAACCCCCTTTAAAACTGACATGTGATTGACAGGCAGTTTATGGGTGGCACGCTCTGACTGGCAGGGGAGTTGGCTAAAGCCAAAGGCAACAGTGAAATTTCCCAGTTTGCTACAACCATGGGAGCAAAGGACTGCTACTCATGAGGGAATTGTGGGAAATCCTTAGTCATATTAACATATCAAAGTGAGGAGCTGACAGCACTCACTAAACAATTTGAACTCAACCATAGCTGCAGAACATTCCCCAAACTTCTCAGTTTGAAAGAGAAAAGAAATTAAAATGTACTTGATCCTGTGCTCACCAAGACAGCTAAGAATTTGAAAGCATGCTTATTTAATGATTTTGATCTGTGATAACGTTTGTATCTGTGTGTGTGTGTATTTATATGTGTGTGTGTGTGTGTGTGTGTGTGTGTATAAAAAATATATATATATATGAAAGAGGCTGACATGCTCAACAATTTGTTCTATATCACAGGCCAGACTGGTGCTAAATTGGAAACAGAACAACATATTTCTGTTTGATGTGAACAATATGAATCCAGCAAAAGAATACACTCCTTCCGATCTTATTTTCTAGAGGGCTTCTACTGCTTCAGTGCTTAATTGCAGATTACATGGTTTGAATAAATCTTAATTGCAGCCATGCACTGGGACTGCATGTTGTGATGAGCTTAAAAGTGACTTCACAGCAAAACTGAATTTTTTGTATGAGTTATAAGAAATTGAAGCCGAGAGATGTCTCCACTAACGCACCAACCCACCTATGGCTTCACATTCTGCTGTTCAGCTAATGCGTCAAAGCCTTTGAGCTCCTCACTTCTGGATACACTAGGGTTATAAAAATTGACTGGAAATGGTAAATCCAACCCATAACAGCACCATTTTCACAGACTTTTGCCACATTCTTTCTGCCTCTGCACAGCAGGTACTTGCTTCAGACAAGCTGGGTTTGCAGCAGAGTCTGACAATATCGGTAAAAGCTTGAGTTTATTAGGTTTAGTCATTGGATTTCAAACTCATTGAAACACAGACCTCACCTTCTCGCATTTTTCAGGAAAGAGAGATCACTGGAAATTACAGCCCTGAACAAAATGTAAAGAATATCATCAAGAATCCTCTTGAGGGTACTAGCATGGACACTTGGGTTTATTTCCCTCTCTTGTACTTCCAAAGTGACCCCATGAACCTCTACCCTGTTTTGTGTGTAATTTCATGGGTTGTCTGCAAGGGCTGAGACAGCAAGCCCAGCACTCATGACACAGGCTTGGAAAGGAAGTGAGAAGCAGCACAGCACACCTGGATACAAGGAGATGCTATTGTATTTTCCCATATGACTAAAAAATCAAAACACTATGAAGAAGTCAAGGCTCTTGCTCTAAAGCGCTGACAGTGTAAGGAAAATATTCTGACTTCTTCATAGCAGTGAAACTGGGAAGAGAAGGATCTTTACCGTAGTGGGAGAGGACATAGAAAGAGAAATAATGAGAGCTGGTATCAGTTAAACTCAAATCAGACATTTTAATACTTTCCATTTACCAAAAAAAAAGTGGTTTATTAACAAAATTAATCCTTTGGAACAAGTCTTTAAAGAAAAGACTGTCTTCTGTGTCCCCTGATGTCTTCAAACCAAGACCAAGCCTTTCTGGAAGGCATGCTTTAGTCTAATGCAAGTTACTGAACTCAAGACTGGGATAACTGTGTGAAACTCAATGGCCAGTAACAGACAGTCAGTTCAGTCTAGATGATCTAATACCATCTTTTTCACAGAGCTCCTCTAGGAAGCGGGATAGAAACACTCTGCCTTTCTACAAAGCCAGTTTATTGAAATTATTAAAGCCGCTTGCGAGCACTAAATAATTTAGCCTCACTGCATCTTGACAAAGTGGTCAAGAACACGTCACTTGCTTTTCGGCACGTGCCTCGGAGCAGGACCACACTTCCCTGCACTGCAAAGAGCATCTTCCCCAGCCTCCTCCAACCTCCCTCCTGCTTCAGCAAAGCATCTGTTTATGGACTCCCCTCCAACAACTGACCTCACCTGACCTTGCTGAGCATGTGCGCGCTAACGGGATTACTGCACAGCAGTACAGCTTGCTGCCTGTGTGCGCTCAGATTGTACCCTTTGGTGTCCTACATTGTTTTTGACTGAGAGCCATACGTGTCAGTAACGCTCAAGTAGTAAAATTTCTGCCTGTAGGCCAGGAGGTTATAAGTTCAAGTCCTGCTGGAGGGTACAAATGCCTACCAATATGACATGCAAGAACATATGGGAGGGAGATGAGGGGTTCAGATATGCGTTGGCTTTTATTTTCTCCTAAGACACATACTGCATTTAGAAAAAAGCCCATTAGTTAAGAGCTTGACATGGGTGCCTTTTACTCATATTCTAATTCATGTTGAGCTTGGACTTGAATCCCACATCCAATCTTCTGCAACAAGGGAAGGCCATTTCATGCCTATATTTCACAGCTATCCAAAAAGCTCCATATACAGATTCCGCTGGCCCCTAAAGCAGGGTGAAATGTGTATTCATGTGCGAACCCATAGCCAATTTCTCTCCTTTTTCTCCCTTGTCTCTTCCACACTCTAGGAACCTACAGCTCTAGCGCCGCAGGGCTTCCTTTGAGCGAAAAGCCTTCTGGTTAGAGCAGAGGACTGGGCATCTCAGACTAAAATTATTGGCATTGCCACAGTCTTCCTGCATAGCCCTGAGCTTGTCACTTAGGGCAAGGACGTATGCTAAGCAGGTGTGTCTGTGTGGACCGCCAGAAAATCAGAGATGCCAGCTGTGCTACTAACGCTATAGAGGGACTGCTGGCACAGGGGAGTCCAGCTCAGCATGGAGAGACGGAGGAGAAAGGGAAAATACAGTGCCAGGAACACTTTCCTGATCCTTTTAAGAGAAGTAGCATCACACTCCAGCTGGCACAAGCTGCTGACTGCAGCATTGGCCTGGCCATGGGACCTACGTGACAGACCAGCCTCTCTTGGAAACATCAGAAACCGTCCACCTCTCCAAACAATTTAACTGGCTGGGAAGGAAATGTGCCAGTTGTTATAGGGAGAAATGAGGGCACAAGGATACCACGTTTCAGTAGCAGAGCAAACCCACATGGTACAACAGAAATCTAAGGTCCAGTTTCGGAAGGATGAAGACTTTAATTTGCGGACAGACTTGCACAAACCCAACCATCCTCTAGGTAATTAAATGAATGCCAGGGTTTTATAACTACTGGATCTCATCTAGTTTCTTCTTACAGATCAAATTTTCAAAATGACTCAGCCCCCAGTATAGGAGCTCTTATGGGGATAGAGCATTGAGCATTTGTGCATAAGATACTGTGACAATAGGAGTTTGATTGTGAATGTAAAAATACGAGAATTCTGGCCCAAAAGAATAATGTCTATGTACGTCAACATAATGTCAACTATTTTTAGAAAAGCAATTTCATGGCCAAAACTGTTTTTTTTCTCTGAATAGTTCTGGAGTGTTTTTGTTTGTTTGTTTTACCTTTTTTAATTGTGCTTTGCTTTTAAAGGACAAGGAAAAAAGGTACTCACCATGCATGGAAAGGGTCCCATTCCTCACTGCCAGGAACTTGGTCCCATATGGAAATACTGGTGGAGAATGGAGGCTTCCATGCAGATAGATGTGTGCTTTGTGATGGAAAGGGGCCTTGGAGGACCCCACCCAGAGCTCTCCTCCATCAGATATCAGGATATAATGAGCATGCAGTTCTACAGGTCCGGGACCAGTAAACACGAGTTTACCACCTGAAGACAACAGAAAAGCAAAATGCAAGTGTTTGGTCTCATAGCCAGTTATCTCATGGTTAAAGGAGCTTAAGAGCTCGGTGAAACAAATGGTCTTGTAAAGAAGTTAAGGGATTAAGGGTAAGATCGTGTTGTTTCCTGCAGAAATCCAAGCTGTACTTCTCCCTGTAGACTTACCAGCTTTTAACAGCGTGCTCCTTTTCACAGTAAAGACCTTATTAATTCAGCTCATTTTTCAACTCTATCACAGACTGTTTTTCTAGACTTAAGCAAGTCCATTCAGCTTGGGCAGACATCTAACTCTCTCCAATTTTAGTGTAAGGGAGCTGTGTTTGGAAAATCCTAGTCTTAATCTATTCTCTCTCTAACTGTTAGAAAGGGATACTCCTACTACTTACTTTATATGTACAACTTTTCAGATTATAAACCATTTGTGACACGGAAAAGGAAGGGAGAAGAGCTCCGGAACATAGGAACTGGCAACTTGTTTAGATCAGTGGTTGATTTAATCCTGCATACTGCTTCCAACTGTTGTTCAAAACCAGATGCTTGAAAATACAGTACAAGAAAGTTTTCCTTGTTAGTTGCGTGTGAGATGATCTCCCATCCCACGAAAGCCTCATTTTAATCCTTAATTAGAGGTTAGCTTTACCCCAAAGCACAATATTTCATCTCCCTGCCAACACTTTCCTTCCACCATCTATTAGTTTATAACCAGAGAGGCTTTGTTAATAATATAGATCTGATCCTTCTTCAAATCTTTCTAATACTTAGTCTCAATGACTTCTTGAGGCATTGAATTCTGTGGTCTAACTATGCATAGTGTATAAAACAGGCATTTCCATTCCTTGGTTTTGACTCAGTCTCTGTCGAATGCCGCCTTTGTTCTTCGCCAGTAATCCCGTGCTATCATCTCAGGATAGTTCGCTCCTTTAGCTCCCTAGATATTTTCCCTTTTCTCTCCTATGAAGGAAACTGTCACTGTTTTTATGGTGTATTTTCACAGAATGGATTGTCACACATCTAATCATTCTGTATTTGGGATATGCCTTTCTAGGTCAAGCCATGCTTCCCCGGAGCTAGCCAGAAAATCCAGGTAACCTCAGAACTCCTTGTGAAGGGACCATCACCCTCCCAGTGTTTTCCTTTATCTAAAGTGGCTAATAACTGAGACATTTCATACCATGATCAGCTTCTTGCCGGTGTTAGCAGTTTTTAATCGTGACCTACTATTCACACCTACTGACCGTAGGGCTTTCCTTCTCCACAAGATACTACCAAATAAGTTGGCGTAAGACATCAGGGAGCCCAGACCTCTCCTTTAATTTCAATATTGAGGCAATGAATGAGGGTACATGTTTTAGTACAAAAGTCAGATAAAAATATCCCTTTATCATTGCTCCCTGACATCAGGTCCCACTGTTCATAATGATGTGGGAGCGGCATAGCACTTGCATGCCTTTCCTACCCAGTTGCATCCGGTCCTGCTTTGAACACATTTTGCCTTGCCAGATCTCCTTACTTATTCTTGCATTGAGGGGCTTTCATTGGCAGCATAGGCTGAACCTTGTTATCTACTTGAAATTAAAAAGAAAAAATAAATAAATTAAATTCAATAACACATCATTGTTAGACTTTGAACCCTGGAAGGCTCAGCTCTGAGAAGCTGGCTTGGTTGTCCTAATTTTTAAGTATCCCAGGAAAGCCAGTATTTGAATAAGGGCAACCAATTAAATATTTTCTTCCTACACTTAAGGATGTTCTACATAAGTTTATATTGAGTATGCTTAACAGAAGGAATGGGCTAATCCCACGTTTTCTTGCTTATAACAGTTGTCAGCCAGCGGATTGCTCCCACAAATACCAAGTCCCCTATGTATAAGCTATCTCTTTTTTTTGTATTTCTGCTAAGCTACTGAAGACAGACTTTTAAAGCAGAATAAATTTCAGCTTGTTTCATTCAAAATTTCAGACTTATTCTGAGATACGTTTGAAGCTTCTAGAAACAGCAAAACAGGTATAAGATTCAAGATGGTATTAATTTACGGACTGAAGGAACGATTAGATCATATCACCTCAAGGTCTGTGCACATCATACTATTGAGCAACTGGAAGAGTCAAGTCATCAGTGTTTGCTACTGTGTACCCTCCAGAAAGGCAGAGAGTCAATTAAGTGACTTGGGGACATCACTCAACCATTTTCTATAATTCATTTTTCCAACAGCTCATCTCCCTCACTGTTCATGATCTCTGCTTTCTTTCCAATTGCAACTTGTCAGGGATTAACTTGCAGAGAGTGGTTCTCTTTGTACCCTTCTCTATTGCACTGCAGAGAGGTTTACAAACAGCATTTTCTCCTGAGAAGGTATTTACCTGTGCTCTAATTTCTAACTCCTGACTCTCTCCAAGACTACGACTTTTCTCAATTAAGTCACTTACTGTGTAACCTCAGCTTTCATTCCTTGCTGCTAACTGCTCTGCTCTCCATTCAGCTGTGAAAATCTGCATTTGGTTTGAATGGCACTCACAAACACAGTCAGTGATGGTTCTCCATTTACTTCCAGATCATCAGTGATGGGCAATAGCATCCAGATAGACATGAAAAAGATTGCCCACTAACAAACTACTTTTTGAGTTAGTGTATTTCATGTCTGCTAGCTGGCACGAGATCTTGCTTCGCTAATGTTGCACACAGCTATGGTTTCGCAATGTGCAGTCATCCGCAATCAATCATCACATTATCATATACTTCATAGAATTAACTTTTGGAAGTTAACTTTATTGCAGCCATTCTGCACCACTGAACCAGGAGGACCAGTAGCAAAAGTTGCCCTTTCTTTTAACTGAAAAATCATAAATCTTGGCTGCCTCCAACACGTTCCCCAAAAGATTACCCAAATTTCCGTTACGTTTTGGCCACTCAAAACATTCAATTTGTCTACAAGTTAGCTTAGAAATACTAAACTCCTCCCATAAACTCTTGTATCCCCTCCCTGTGGGATGACAGGGATGGGGGCACTTCTCACACAAGACTCTCCACTCTTTTTCTCTTTGCAGCCTTCGCATGCATTTCAAGACAGCCATGGGAAGAAGTCTTTTTCCCATCAGGGTCTAGGATTTACCTCTTTCTGCCCTGCCTCTGGAGGGTCTCTTCTAAAGGAGTAGTGCCCTTTCATTCCGCTTGCAGGCACAAACCGTGCCATGCTCAGGCTGCAGGTTTGACCCTTCCTGAGGGAAATCCTACACAAAAGCAGGGTTTACCCTCCCTGAATGTGAAGACTTGGATATGCTGGGGCAACAAGAACTAGCTTCTCTGTCCCTAAGTGCAATGACAACCCTAAGCACACTTTACAAAGGTGTGAAGACTTGCAAGTCTTCCACCAGAAGGAATTTGCTATATGTGATGCTTTGGCTTTCCCTTAAAAGCAGCAGCCAGACCCAGCGTGGAAGCACTGGGAACACACCCTCCATAAGAATCAGATATATCAGCTACATACATGGTCACAACATAATGTCATTGTACCTTGACTATTTGCAAAGTTTCTGAATTCTTTCCAGAACAAAGTCAAAAGGCACTTGGTCCTCAGAAATAAAGCACAAGCAGAAAAGTCCAACTGCTGAAAGCTGAAGAACAACAGCATCTTAGAAGAGAAAAGTAAGCACTAACGGTTATTCATTTAGTCACTTAACAAATCCAAGTATTACACAAAAAAAAAAAAACTCCAGCCAAACGTACAAATACTTATGCCTAAAATTCATATAGGGTCCTTCTAACCATCAGCTCTTTGTATTTCTGTTGTTTTCATTGGATCAGAATAAATATACAGCTGCTGCTTTACAAGACTGTCTTCCCCTTTTTTAAAAAGAAAATAAAAGTTTTGCTTCCCTCCTTTATTGCACTTGACCCCTTCTCTGAAGGCAGAAAGCAAGAATATTGCTCAACTGAGCCTTTGGCTGTGACCCTCAAATTGTTTGTTATGGCTACGCAGGAAAGCAAAGTCCTACATATGACCTTGAGGGTGATTTTATAAAAATCAATCAATTACTGTTATGATGGCCTCCCCATCAACCAAAATAAATACAATTAAACCCATAATCACTTCTGTACAGTAATGTGCTAATTCAATGGGTCTCTTTAGGTGGAGTGAGGGAGAGGGGGGAGAAAAATGTTGAAGCTATTTGATACTTTGTGAGAACATCAGAAGCACCATTCTTCTCAATTAACCCAGCAATTAGCCTCCACCTCTCCTCCAGGAAAAGAAATCTTTCTTTATCTGTCTTTACTTAAAAAAAAAAAAAAAGGCGGGGGGGGGGGGGGAAGAAAGAGAGAAAAATCAATCTATAGGCAACTCCATCTTTCCCAGAGGAGGGGAGAAACAGAGACCAAAAAAAAATGTGAGGGAATATTGAAGAAACCAAAGCTGATAATAAAGTGGGGGCTGTAATCTTCTATGAAAATAACTACTGCCCCAGCATGCCAATAGTAGAACTGGTTCTGTGTAGAGACATTCCTCTTCCTAGATCCTTGGGAAATGATGGAGAAAACACTCAAAAGGAAAGGCAGTGGAAAGATTACCACTTCATTCTGTCAGGAGCCCTTGAGTGGCTCATAGACAGTGCCAAATTGGATAAAACACACAGCCTACGTACCCAGAGTCTTTACCCTCCAAAAAGGCTGCGTCATGCACTTCTGAAAGAAAAGAGCAAACATCCATGGAGTCAGGGCTTGTGAAGATTACTGTGGAAAGTTTCTCCTTGCCTCTGTGATATCGAGATTGATTCACATTTTCGCATATAAGGACATCCCTTCTCAAAAACCTCAATTTTTTTTTTTAAATGCTTCTAATATAGACATTCTTGGAACGTATAAAAGGGCTGCTGATTTTCTCATTATTATTTAGGTTGTGATTTAGAATGCTCCAGGGATTTCCTGAACTCAGAAGGAAGCAAAATACCCATTCCAAAGAGCACCTTTTACTTTGAGGGCTTTTTTTATTATT